GAGCCTGCCCGGGCTCACACACGGCTGGGCTTGCACGGGACCAGGCTCACACGCGGCTGATCTTGCACGGGGCCGGGCTTGCACGAAGCCCGTTTGGCTCCCGCGGTGCCCGCTCGGCTCGCACGGGGCCGGCTGGACTCGCATGGAACCACGCTCGCACAGGACCCACTTGGCTCGCAGGGGGCCCGCTGAGCTCGTACGGGGCTGGGCTCGAAGGGACGGGGCTGGGCTCACGCGGGGCCGGCTGGGCTCGCACAGAGCCGGCGGGACCGGGCTCGCGCGGGGCCCACCTCAACTGGCACGGGGCTGGGCTCGCACATGGCTGGGCTCCCACGGGGCTGGGCTCACACGGGGCCGGCTGGGCTCGCACAAAGAGGGGCACACTTTAATGGCCCAGGCTCACACAAGGCCGGGCTCGCACGGAGCTGGGCTGGCACGGGGCCGGGCCCGCAAGGGGCCGCGCTCGCGAGGCCGGGCTCGGGCTCGGGTTCGCGCGGCTGCGTTGTCCTAAGCATGCAAGACGGGGCCGAATCGGGCTCGCGGCTGAAGCGGCAGCGGCGAGCCCTCTCGGGTTCGTGGCTTGGCTTGCTACTCTGGCGGGCTGGGCCAGGTATGGGCCCGCTTTACTGTACACGCGTAAAGGCTTCCACATCTTCAAAAAATGCAACAGCGACGAAGAACAGCGCTCGCTCTTATTCTCGTTCACGTTCGACGTTGCAACTCTTTGAGCCTCTCAAGCTGCTTGAGTGTTTTTCTTCTCTCTTTCTCGTTTTCAAAATAGTCAAGGAAGCTAAAAGAATCTTGTTGCAGTAAGGAGGAACTTCCTAGCCCACTATATTTGCCACGTGGGGTCCAGAGGAGCAACTTCTCTAGTAAATATATAAGTTTGCCATTGCCGTTGAAAAAAATTGTAATAAATTGGTGCTAAAACACATTTTATGCTGGCCATACCCACCACGCGGTGATCAAAGCAGCCGAGAGCCAGACCAAGGAAATGGCGACCACGTACTCGACGAGACGGAAATGAAGAGAGCAGCCGAGAGCAGAACCAAAGTTGTACGAAATTTCTGAGTAACCTAGATTGAAAAGCTCACGACCTCTTCTTCTTCTCTGAAGTGCTGACTTAAACGGGAGACCAGACCTACAAAGAATAGACGAGTGAGTGAGTCAGGATACCCTCTCAGTAGATTTCAGCTTCTTCTTCAAGGGGATCAAGTTGATGTACTTGCACATCTATTTTTTGGAATTTCAGAACAGATGCCAGCTGCTTCTTCAAGGAGATCTATACAGTCACTTTTGGGGTTCTTCAAGGGGATCTTCTGTGCTATCAATCTTCCACGGTGAGTAGAATCTTCAAGGTGGACTGTTTAGAATCTTCAAGGTGAGTAGAATTATCAAGGTTCGTTGACTGTTTAGAATCTTCAAGGTGAGTAGAATCTTCAAGGTTGACTGTTTATAATCTTCAAGGTGAATAGAATCTTCAAGGTGCATAGAATCAGCCGTCTCTTCAAGGTGAATAGAATCTTCAAGGTTCGTTGCCTGTTGCGGTTTAGAATCTTCCAGGTGAATAGAATCTTCGAGGCGATCCGGCAGCAGTAGTACTAGTACACCTTTCACTTGAGCGAGGATTTAAGAACAAGCAAAAGCTTCTTGCTGCTTTCAAGATGCCCCCCCCTGGAGGTGTCTCTACAACGAACTGGCGCTGTTCTTGTTTGATCAACTTTATTTGATGCGCTTGAGTCTGACTGTAATTTTTTTTGTCAAGGCTAAGCCTCCAACCCGATGTCATAAATCTCGCAGACATAGCTCGCGTCTGCAGATGAACACAAACTTTTTATCTTGGGCTTGTTGTCACCCTACACAAGCAGCGGGAGCTTCCATCACCATCTAGATCTACTCCTGCAATCTACCAATATATTGGTTTTTGCTGTTTTATAGTCATGTGGGATGTAGTCTTTAGCTTTAGGTTAGCCTACGGAAGTTCAAGTTGCTGCTCATGCTCAGAGTCGTGCTCAGAATGAATCAGTTTTGGCCTGCTATATCTTCTAGAAACAGTTCAAGCTTTCCGTTCAACAGTCTCCATCCTGCGTCACTGGAACTCGGTCGTTGTATTCCGGTAGAAGCGAAATGCTCTCCGCAATTTTAGAATATGTATAAATATGAGTCATTCTCACCATGCCATAATTCTTCGAAAATAAATGATCAGACAGTATCTATACACTTCTCTATCGAAGATAGTTTAAATTATTCTACTCCTTAGACGTGAGGTTTGAAACTAGCGGCCTCAAAATAGTCAGGAAACTTGTTACGCAACGTCTTGGAGCCAAAGTAGGCGTCCTGTGAGCTACCTTGTGATAAAGATAAGGCTCTCTTCTACCGAGTATAACGGCGTTGATCTTGATATGATTGACGTCCCTAGCCGAAAATATCGGATGTATCATCGAGTGATCCGCTTTCCATCCAGATCCAACAGAAGATCCTCATCTTCTATGAATATCTTCAATATCACTAGAAGAAAGCCAAAGCCAAATCCTAATCCTCATCCTCATGAACGTCGCGAAAATACGCGGCTCCTAGCAAGATCCCACAAACACCCGCTGAAGCTGCTGCGCAATGGAGAGCCCATCGTCCAAGATGAATTAGAAGATATGACTCAAGTTGAGATGTCCTAGTTGTAGTTGTGCCGTACATGCACTCGGACCATACATGTAGACTTCAACTCGGCAGGTACGACGTCTACTGTATCTATTCATGCGGTAGAATCGACAATCTAGTTTATGTACTTGTTGAATGAAAAACTCGTGGTTGCATTTTATTAGAAGTAGAGTCTTCAAAGTATATGACGAACTTATTCATCGATAAACTGAAATAACCGAGTAGCCTAGATAATAACCTGCTCCGATGCCCCCTTGCTAGTGCGTAGTTTGTATTTGTCGCACGCATATATTTTTCATAAGATTTCGAGTATGCGACTTCTATCTGAAGAGTATATGCCATAATACAAGACTGCCCACCGACGCTGTTCGCCCCGCTGTCGTGGCGGCAGAGAGCAACAAAGAGCCCAGCGGTAAGCTCTTCTTCTCTGGAAGTGCCGCTGTAGTTACACCGGGAAGGGACCCGGATTCCCAGCTTCTGCTTGTTGCGGTGTTGAATCTCTCGAGAAATCATGAACTCAAGTAGTTGCCAGCCCTCTACTAGAGCTAGAGAATAGATGTTTCAAGCAACGTCTACATCTACTCTCTGTGATGCATGAAAAAATAGTACACGTACACGGATCGAGCAATACTGCCATAACCTTGAAGATGCGACCCGCACCCGCAGCGTGCCAAGCAAACTCCGAACAAGTGAATTGCTTACAACCATGGTCGGTTTACCTTAAATTGCATTAATCAAGTAGTTCTAATAAATTGTAATCCATCGGCTCAAAGCGATGTTTCTTTCCTCATCATTTTCAACATCACAGAAGAATGTAATTGTCAGATGAGAAATAATGCTTCTCATCTACTACTAATACAACTAGTGGCGATGCTTCTATATCTTCGTTTTTAGCAACAGTGTCCGACAAGCCTTAATATCTTCGAGTATGGTGAGAATTCAGGACGGGTCACGCCACTAGTTCAATGAATTATAGAAACTACTGTTGAGAGCCTCAGGATTCATTCTACTACAACTATAAAACTCCTTCATCAATATTATACTTGATGAACAATCAATTCAAATTCATTGCAGCTTCTCGGCACTCGCGTCTCAGGATCTTCAGTGTACATCACAGCTGATCATGACAGGTTCAATGTTGATGTTCCTCAGTACATCGATCTGTAGTAAGTTGTATCTCCGTAGCTGTTGCGAGATGAAGGGCGTCAAACCTTAAACAGTCTTCATCAAAAGAAAAGGGCCACCTGCCGAGTACCGACGGTGAATTCAATCAAACACGACAAACTAATAGTGACAAGTGTCTTTCATCTCGCTGGCACATTCCCTGGGCTAGGCGCAGCGTCCAGATGAAGATGAACATTCGATGTTCTTAGGGTCAGCACTAACCAGTGCTGTCTGACTCTGACAAACTACGAGGAGCAACATCCAATGCGCTAAGTAGAACTTTTATGGCCTCTTTGCTGTAGTCAACCACAGCACCAGGAGCACAATCTTCTACACACAAGGAACATCTTCTTACGTATAAGTGCACCCACTCCAGAGTAATTAGAAATGGAAGCCACCTGGGCACCACTTACCCGTCCTCCACATCTTTCTAGTCGAACTCGTAGCTTCGGTTCCCCTTCCTCTTTTAGAGGTAGTTGTAAGCCTCCCTTTACCGATTCTCCTTCTACCTTGATGTCGAGCCTGTACTTCAACCCTTCTGCTTAAGTACATGTATGGACCGTACTTCCTCTTCTAGAGGTGGAACCTATGCATATCACCTTTGAGCTGCTTATGCAAGAAGGCTCTATTTCCGACTTCCCTAGATGTAGAAGCCGTTCCCGTTCAGCTTATGAAAGAGGTTGATGGCTTGAATATCTTTCCGCCCGATCGAAAATTTCAAGAGTTTTAGCACGAACGTCAACGTACAGCGGAACTCCTTCCGATACTGAGTGGTTTTCACGCTCTGTCGGACCCACCAGGCGGCGGGAAAATTAGAACGAATACAAAGGAGAAGGACTATAACGAAACTAAAAAATAATTCTTAAGAAACGCTGAAACTGAGCGGATGCATCAAAAACGAAATACTATCATCTAACTAAAAGGTCCTATGATTATGGTTATGGTACAAATGGTACTGCTATTTACAAAAGAACATAAACTTGTAGCTTGCTGCTTATTTTTACACGTTGTAGTCATAGAATACGTGGTACAAGTCAAAACGTCTTCTACCACGCAAAACGTAATAAGCTCAATCTTGTTCTTTGCATAATGTTACGTGCAGACTGCGAGAAGCTGTGTACGAAGGAGACTGCGATGTGCAGCAGCGCCCTTAAGTCGCCGACCAAGGTCTCATCTGAGAGAAGCGTCGCTTGAAGAAGGCCCTCTAAGAAGTCTGAGTGCGATTGTTGTAGTGCTGCGAAGTCGAAGACTGGAGCATTCTCATCCAAGAAAGGAGCATTCTCATCCAAGAAAGTATCAGAACCACTTCGGCACGCTCCTGCCCCTTTTTTGCTTTCTGCTTGTTGTTGTTGAAGAAGAAGAGGTCCTTGTTGTCTACTGTCTTGTTCAAGAGGTCCTTCTTGCCTACTTTCTTGTTGAACATGTCTTACTTGTTGCCTACTTTCTTGTTGAACATGTCCTATTTGTTGTCTCTTTTCTTGAAGACGTTGTTCCTCTACTCCCTTATTAAGAAGTTTCTTGTCGAATTCGCGTGCACATTCGGAAATTCGTGACATCATCGTTGACTCTAGAGACGTAACAAAATGCAACATCTCTGCACGCAGAAGGCTCACTGACTGGATCAGGGTACAAATTAGAAACATAGAATGGAGGATGACTCAATTATAGGAAGGTTGGAGATTACGATTAGAAACATAGATGAATTGATGACTGGAAGATCAATATTTATAGGGCGGAAGATACTAGAAACATCAAATCAAAGTCACGTTGCGTACGTGGGAGCTTGAACTGCGATTTGAACTCACTCATCCCCGCTACAAAAAAAAAATAACTGACGTAAAATACACACCAACATAATCGTTCATCAGCGGCACCGCTACATCGCGTTCTCAGGGCTACCAGAAGATGGGTATCTAGTAATGTTTTTCTCGCGCTTTTCAAGTCCAGGAGAAAGCTGAAAATTCGCGAATAAGTCGCCATCTGTAATGGAGTGCAAAACCCAGGTATCCTTTGCTCTCGCCACTGCAAATACAGGCTAGTTCGCTCTTGCCCTTGTGTTTTTCTAGACTTAGAGGTGGTAGGCAAGCATTCACTCCCCGTAATTCTCCTCCTTCTAGTGTCGTCGCCGTGCTCTACCTGATCTCGTCCACCTTCGCCAGCTCGTTCACGGAGAATCAGATTTCTAGCGCATTCTCGAATCGCTCGGTGGTCAAGCAAAATGTCTTCACGAAAAGTCAGGTTTATTTGTTCGGCAGCAGTAGAAGTAGTACTAGCACTAGCACTAGTTCTAGCAGTGGTACTAGTAGCAGAAGTGGTACTAGTTGTAGTGGAGGAGAACTTCGGTTTTGACACTTGTGGCATGTCATTTGCAATCTGCGATAAGACCTTCTGCAGTTTGGCAGTAGATCATAATGATGACACAGCGTCTGTATGTCTTTAGAGGTGTGAAAATTTAACATACCTAATCTTCAATGCTCTCTTTGCTCTAGTAAATCTAGATGAACAACAAGCTATTTTCTTGTTACAGAGAACTGGCAGTGACACTTTGAGTAGCTGCCATGGGTGACGGTGAAAGCAAGCAAATACACAAATCAATTGGCCGTGAACAGTTCGAAATTGAAATCAGCCGTAATTGCCATGACTGGAGCCTTTGATCGCTGAAATAAGCGCCTCTGCTGCATCCTTTTGCTGGCAAAGCGCCACGAGTTGTAAAGCGCGAAGCACGATTCGTAGTGGACCACGCGTAGGGTGCATCAAACTCTCCATCAAGCACTTCCCCTGCACGCCGGCGACTCGTGAGGCTTCCTTTAGGGTTGCTCTTTCATATTTCCGCAAGACTAGACTGGGTGGAAGCAACTGTCTTATACCCGCCAGAGAAGTTTTCCTTCTACAACTTGATATTCTTCTTCCATCACAAGGAGAACTTGTTGTGGCATTGAAAGGATTATTTCGACACTTTTCGTCTAACCAGAGACGCAGTTTCACAATTTCGTCTCCCCGACATGCGTCGCGCCCAAACACTTCCTCGATCAAAGGGTGGGCGCCTCGTATGAAAGGAAAAAGCGTACTCATACTCAAAAAAGAAGGCACTTTCCCACCTAGAACCAGCCTAGTTTGAAAGTATGAGTATAAGTAAGTTTTTCCTCTTCATGATACCTTGACGTAGCTCCGTCTCGCCAAAGGTGTTCCAGCGCTGAAGTAAAGATGTTGCGTCGTCATAAAGGCGTACGAAAAAATCTCCAAAACAGGCATAATCGAGCTCAGCGAGCGAGCGGAGTGCGCGAATCAGCACAACTTCTGCTTCGGGTCCGTAAAGATTGGGACAGTGATATGTGACCTCTGCCAAAACGTCATTCAAGGCCGCGTGTAGTTTAAGGAACGGTTGTGCGCGTGCGCGAGCAAATCGTAAAAAGCGCACCCGACAATCTTGACTGAATTCGATGGAATCTTTCCTCTCAAGGTCATCGTGGAACTCGCGAAGTTTCGTCCCCAGAGTCTCAGCGAGGACCCGCCAAGATCCTGAAAGACTTCGAGCTACACTACTGCCGCTACTACTGCCACCCAGACCTACTTCATGATTCGATACAGGGTTGAGCATGATCAACAACTCCTACTCCATTTTCCGCAGTCGTTCTCATTTTCAATGCCAGGCGCTCCAAGGAGAGACATTCCGCGTCCCATAGAGGGCTTAGGGTTATGTCGCAATTTTGAATGCAGGAAACAAGACATTGCAAATGTTCGAGCTTATCAGCCCAAGCTCTCACAACTGCATGTACAGAGGACTGCGCTGGAGAGGTGTGGTTGTGTTCGTGTGCGGTCGTGTCGTTCCCATTCGTCGCAATCGCATTGCTAAAATTGTTCTTCGAACAAGATAGTTCACCTTTGAGCAAATCTTGCATTTCGCGCACAGACAAAAGGCGCTCCGATGTGGCCTCTTTCCCATCTACATCCAAGCCTCTCGACGTCGTTGTTGTACCCGAGCCTGCACTCCAGCTTGTTGGCTGTCTTCTTTCCCCGTCTTGTTCCTCTTGTTGGTCTTGCTCTCTTCGCTCTTGCCGACCTCCAGTAGGACTATTTCTACCCTCATGCGCCGGTCTATCTTCTTGTTCATGGATTCTGTTCGTATAATCATGGCAATCAACCATGTGTTGTGCATCTTCATCTTTCGCACCATAGGCAGGAGGTGACAATAACTCATCCAATAACGACGACGAGCTTCCCGGATGAAAGTTGGCGTCCTCTTCTTCCGCTGACGTGGTAGTAAACCAATCTCCATCTTCAACATATGTTGAGCGATTCTCGATGTCATCTGACATGTCGACTGCATTGCTCTTTCCAGTAGTTTCCAGAAGTTCTTCCGCATTTTCGGTATTTTGATTTTCATCGTGACCACCAGTTGTACCATAGAAAAGAAATCTAGATGCACCTCCTTATTCTCCTCTTGAAGACGTAGTTCTTGCCTCGTGTCTCTTTCTCAGCGATTTTTCGCCATGTAGATTCGTCGTCTTCAAGGCACCGTTGCGATGGCCGCTGCAGCTGCGTCGCCTGCTGCGTTGCATTTCGGCATCCCATTCACTGTAGTGCATCTCATCTGGCAGATCCAGGATAAAATCGTTCACATCTACCGTTTGAGCCCGACGTCAGTTTTCGCGCGTCTGATTTCGTCTAGCGCGTAGCCGCAAGAGTGCAGGCACCACAGAATTAGGCATGATATTAGAGACATGTTGTCGACGGGTGGAGGTTGTAGTAGTATTTGGCTATTGCAGATATTACCGTCACAACTTCTACGTCTCTTTTTTCAGATATAGACAGCAGAGAAGATGAACTTATCCATTCATCACAGCCGCATGGTCTCTTTCTTCTCGAACTTTCGAAATGCAAGAAGAGTGAAAAGAATATCTCTTTTAGGACATCGAGCGGGAGTCAAATCATTCTGTGGATGTCATTTTCCAGTAGGACAACGACAAGAGCCTTACCAGTAAGTGGTTCGAGAACCAATGCGAAAAGACATTCCAGTATGCCATAGGTAGCAGCTTCTTCGTCGAAAATGAGAGGGGGATCCAGTGAAGTCGTTGACAACGATCCCAAACCCAAATACTCATGCCAGCTGCGTTCGAACAAATCAGCCTTAGAGTCTTGTCCATGTAGCCGTAATTTCTGCACAAATCCGTCTTTGCTGCGTGACATTAGAAGTGGGTGTACTTTCACTTTGGCTTTGTCTGTAATTATTCCCGTACCCATCTTCCATGGAATAGAATCTAGGTGATTTTTTGAAATTGAAAAACAACTACAGCTACCAACCTACACCAAAAAAGTAAAAATCAACACGCCAACTCAGAGTCATAACAGCGCCAACCCCTTCCCGTCCAGGGTTTCTGCTGGGCTGTCATCCAAAAAGCCTTTGGCCCATGTGACAGTTTCGTCAATATTGCTTTTTGTGACCAACGCCACGCCGCTGCAGTTCCTAAACGAATGCCCAGCTAGAGCTTCTCGCTGCTCTAGAATGGCCGTCTGTTTCTTCACCTCCAAAGACGAAGACATTTTTTCTAATGAACAATGAGGATGAGTAGTAAGTACTTTGCACCGATCGTGTAATAAATGTACGCGGGGCTGTCTAGAAGATAAGGAACAGTATCGACTGCTTTGAAATTATAGATTTTTTACGTAAGGAGAAGTCCATCTTGGAACTCTTTCCAATCAATCTGAATCAGCATGGAGATGTACTCATCATCTTCCATCTCTAGAAGTGCCTACCTAAGTACACTTGTTCTTGTGTGCGCTTGTGTTTCCCTTGGGCAGTAGGAGGTGATTGGAAGAGCAAATTGTTTTGCATCCTTCGCCTTTCATCGCATATTGCTCAGTCTCTGTCTCTGTGATCATACAGCACGGATAAAATAAAGATCTTAAACAAAATCGAACGTGAAATCCAGGCTGCGTTTGATGATAGCGTGGTCAATTTTTGACCAGAAGGGAGCGCTTCTCTTTGGCCACTGCCTGATTTTCTAGTGCCGCAGATGGTTGCTGCTTCCGTCGGTGATCGAAGCGCTCGCCAAGAGCATCTTGATGATGCGAATCTATTCGGCAATCATCTGCCTAAGATTTCCCTGATTCATGTTCATGCTCGTGTTATATTACTTACACGCACAACGGCATCCACGCACGCAAGCATTCTGTAGAGAGGAACCTGCGTAAGGCCTCATAAACAGCACTTTTTATTCATCCTTTTCATCTTTTTAGACAAGATCAGCTTTTTAGACAAGACTAGCGAGGAAAACCCAATTGCAAGCGGTTTGGTACTAATGTCTAATGAGTCTACTGTCACTCTGAAAATGAGTGTTGTTCTCTATGCAGCGACGAAGTATGTGTCCAAGAACGATCTACTATTTCTCAGAAGTATCTATTCTGTACATGAAGATGATGTTGATCTTGATGATCGTAGACTTGTATTTTCCACCTCAACTGCAATATTAAGTGTGGCTTCCCACCTTTGTTGGAGTAATCGGCACCCTCATCATGATCAACATGAAGTTTCTTCTTCGTATCCTGAAGGGCCATCTTTCTATGCATACCCAAAATGCAGCGTCATCATCTTCTTTGTTCTATGTCATCGTGGTAGAAATGGATCATGTGTCACTGTGCGGCACTGTGGATTGGTCGGGTACGTAAGTTGTTGATGAAGTGGAGGTGTGTTGTTGATGAACCGGTGGGCGGTGAAGCAGCCGAAGTCCATTCATAAAAGGCGTTCAGGTTCGCCTCCTTCGCTGCTATCTCCTAAAAAAATGACGTCCATTCATAAAAAGCGTTCCCCTCGTCCTTCGCTGCTCGAAGCAGAGTATCTGCAGCTGAGTCGTTGTCAGGTGACTCCTGTGCGGTCCTACACCTTCGCAACACTCCTCTCTTTAGAGCTATTGCTATTTTTATTCCTTTCAATGAAATGTGACTCCAGGAGTTCAAAATTCGTAGCACTCCTCTTTGTAGAGCTATTATTCCTTTCAAAGAAATGTGAGAATTCGTAACACTCCTCTTTTTATATTATCAAAATGATATGAAGCAAGAAAAATCTAACATCAACTGAGATAACGATAGCCCAGTTTTGTGTGTCATCTTCATAGCACTATGGGCACCATGGCACATTTACATTTTTCGATTCTTCCACTTCCTTCAACATGCCATTACTTCAGATCCATATGTTTAAGGTAGCAAAAATAGTTTGAGTATTTACGTGCAAAACATCGATGTATAAGGTACAAATTTGTCTACGACTAGAAACTGGTCTCGTTCCTAATGATATTCGTTTCTTGCGCGCACTGCTGAATGTTGCTGACGTGCTCGCAATAGCAGACCCGGCAAGTAATCCTACACTACTCACTACAGGCGGGGACCCGGCAAGTAATCCTCCACGTCTTGGATACGTTCTCACTACAGACACTTGAGGTAGTTGTGACGAGGTAGAAGAGGCACTTTCGACCCTGAGGCCGAGGGGGTCTAGTACTGCATGAAGATTAGAAGAGAGATTTTCACTCACATCAATAGATTGATAAAGATCATGATAAATTTAAAGGAATGAAGCTTTTCATTCAATGAATACCGACACTAGTATTATTGCGCAGTTTACCGATTGACTTCTTTATTCTTTACTTCAACGATTATATTGTTGAACACTTGAAAGGTTATAAATTACCGGAGTGATTTCGTTATTCATGCAAGTACTTGGCAAGTAAAAAGGGGAGCCATTTTGGTCCTGTTTTGTGTTTGGTGCATCTCATTATTCGGGGCATGATCAACATCATGGACATCCTTAAGCAAACAAGTAGACGGCTAGAATCATGCACTTCAAGATTGTGGAAACCTTTGGATTGATGTCACTACGCTGCTGACGCTGTTAGGATCCTGGGAGCTTATGCACGCAACGATTGAATTCATGGAAGTGAACGATTTGATTCATATGCGCGACATCCTCCCCAGCTCCAGGAAACCTAAACAGCCAGCTTACTCAAGATCTATAAATTCATATAATAACAAACAAGAGAAAATAAATACTAGCACGATGAAACAACGATAACAATCATAAGAAGTAAACAAAATGATTGACGTCATTATAAAGTTAACAAGGTAAGCAGTTGCATGAATGTGAACAACAAGTAAATAGATGCAAGGGGTTACGTGGTGATTGAAGTGAAACACCATGAGAATCAAGTTAAATGATGAATCACGAATAACGGTCAAAGTTACGAAATAGCATGAAACTGTTAACAAAGTGACGTAATTGTTGGAGGATTATTATAGTGAAGCTAAGTAGCTCAGACAAGTTCGACCATGTTATTCAATCGAAGATATTCTGAGAATTCCTCCCCGGCTGTCAACTTCGTCAGACCGTTGGATTTGTTCGCCAAACTTTGAAAATAGATCGGCTTGATCGCTCCTCGTCCAACAAGATCACGCATGTAGCATCTTCGAATATCCACACGCTTTAGCCTTGAAGCTGTTCCGCTACGTCCTTGGCTATACTTAATTGCGCCCTGATTATCGCACTTAAGTATTAGCGGATAATAGATTTTAGGTTCTTTAAAGAATTTGCTTAACCACACCCGCATACTATTCAGTATGTGGTGGAAACGAAGTCCAACTTTTGATCCATCAGACATTGAGCACAGTTCAGCTTCAGTCACACTAGTGGCAGTCGTGCTTTGCGAAAGTGATCGCCAGTAGATCGCGTTGCCACATAAGGTAACTAAGATTCCAGATATGGACTGCCGGCCTTCTTGTGATCCGAAGTCAGAGTCAGTCCATATTGACAGCGTTAGTTTTCCACTGTTTTCCTTTTGTCTGTTCACGTACTTCAGTGCTCTTCGTGTTCTGAGGTAACGGACTATGCGCTTCAGTGCTAATATTGATTCACTGTTCGCTTTGGCTTTGCTTGCTAACTTTAGTGGTACTGTTATATCGAACCGCGTTCCAGATGCAAGATACTGCAGAGTGCCTGTAAGCTCTTGCTTAGGCTTCAGTAGCTTGACATCTTCGGGCGTTGACAAGTTTGGGGCGGTTGTCATCGGGTTGGATATCGTCCTACCAACTTCCCCGCCGAACCGCGCCAATACTTTTTCAACGTACTCATCTTGGCTGAGTAGCATGTTGCCAGTAGCTTTATCCTGGATGATCTTGATACCCAAAAGGTCATAGACGAGACTAGTAGCAGTTTCTTCTACCGTCTCGGGTACAAGCTTTAGGTGAGGCTGAAGTTCTGCATGGAGATTCAGAACTTCCTCCTTTCTTCCAAAAAACCAAAAGTTATCTACGAAAACGACTAGCAGAACGCCTTCCTTGTGCCAGAGTGTGGGTTCTATGGGATTTCGTACCCAACCACATAGCGATAGTTTGCCATCACGATGATCAGCCCAGGCTTTTGAAGACAATCTTAGACCGTTAAGCGCGTACTGTACTACTGCGCGCGTATAGTTGAGGTAAGACTGTAGTCTTTGGTCTAAGGTGATCAAAACTGGGACTGGATAAGGAGACTGTAAGAAAGCTGATTTAGCATCAGATGGAAACATAAATATATCTGGCTGTTGGCAAACTATTGCAAGTAGTAGGCGCATAAGACACAAGTCTGGCACTTCGGCATACTTGTCGTCGTAGCTTGAAACTTTATCTAGAAAACCTAAACAAACTATCCTAGCCTTCTTACGACCGTCGCGCTTGATCGATAGCAACATCTTACAGGGTATGAAGCTGCTTTTCCGTTGTACCCAGTGAGTTACTTCGCTATTTGTCGCGGGTCGAAATACATGAGCATGAGCTTTGAGCTCTTTCTCAATGGCTGCCTTCCAGTCTGGCTGGGTGAGGTCGTATCCAGACTGATCAGCGCCGACAGATGCTGTCTTCATACAAATCCCGCTTTCATCTTTCTCCCAGTCAGAGCATAGAAAGGGGGAAATGAATCCAACAAAGTTTTCATCTTGGTCGTCTAGATTCGTGTCGTCTGAGGCGTAAACTTGGCTTTGCCTATAGGCTTCAGCTGCTATTTTGTTCAGCTGAGCCTCTTTTAGGTCTTTATATTCAGGCTGTGCCTGGATAAGTTCACGAATCTCTTTGCGTGCTTTTGCTTTTATCGCGTTGCGCTCCCGCCACGCTCCTCTGACAGGTTTCTGAGGATGCTCCTCGGCTATCCTTCGAAGCTGTGCTTCATGTTCAACTTGGAGTCTGTTGTAAACTTGCTGAGTGTAGTTCTTAGTAAGTTTAAACTTTCCTTCTGTCTGCTTTGGAGCGGCCGACTCCCCGCCGGGCTGAGATTTCCCGTGATCAGACGAGGAAGATTTAATCTTTGGTGGACGCTCCAAGACTACAGGAGGCTCTGTCTCAGACTCGTTAGCGTTTGTCTGTACAAACTTGAACTTTACCGGTACCGTTTCAAACGTGTCAGGATGTTGATGGTCTGGAGGCGACAAACCGTGCGATTTGTATAGGACTCGCAACAACATCGGCGGGAAATTGAGCTCTTGAAGAGTTAAGTGGCGCCTTATATGGGATGCGTGAACCCTCTTAAAGTTTCCGTCGTAGTCGACTACAAAAGTACAAGCGAACTCGTTCTGTTGAATGTGAATCAACTTAGCTGGTCCGAGCCATGCTTCTTTGTCCTTGTCAAAAATATCAACGAGGTCGTTGACTTTGATCTGATCCGCTTCGTGATAGGCGTTACGCTGCATTTCATTCAGCTTACGCATGTCAGCAATGAAAGCTTTGCCCTTCTTTAGTTTTTCAAGTTCTGAACGAGCATCGCATCGCACACGATACGCTTCAGATGCTGGACTGTCAACGATCATTGATCCCTGCTGATCATTCAAGTTTTCAGGGTCATGAGGTTCCATTGAAAATGGGTTGAGTGCCCATTGAGCTTGGTAAGGACTAAGGCCGTCTAGTGCTCTAGTTGGCATAAAGTTCACCGCATTAGTAGCTTGCTCTACTAGCATCGGCACTTTAGTATCCAACTGACCACGAATATAGTACAGCTTCTCTAGTACTGTTCTAAAAGTTCTATGCCTCCGCTCACAAGTACCGTTTACCCAGCTAGCTTTAGGCGTAAGATAGAAACCATACCCATGCATTTGAAGATATTCGCGCACTTGAGTGCTATCGAATTCTTTTCCTTGATCAGATAAGACACACCTGCCGAGGATGCCTCTGCCTTTGCAGTGCTCCAGAAATTCCGTTGCGTCTTTTCCGGTGGGTGCCTTGCGTAGTGTCCTAGTGACACTCGCTCTAGAGTGTAAGTTAATAGCGTGTAATGCGTAGTACTTCTTTCCAAGAGGGGAAAACGTATCAACAGCAGTGAAATCTGAGATACGAAGTCCGTCTATGCCACCTACTTTGTGGTGAGGGTAGGCGTACTTGTTGAGGCGGTTTAAGTTGTGATTACAGTACTGAATAACCATACTACGGGCTTGCCGTGAGTTATCGATAGCTTTAACCGTTTGCCATAACTTTTGAAAACTTGGAAATCCTAGCTGCATGGCAATCGCGCAAAGCTTATCCCAAGAAATCCATGCTCCTTTAGGCGTAGTGGTGTTTGCGTTACCACGGAACTTCTTGGCAGGTCGCGACGAAGATGGTGCTGCTTCTTCGTCTGCTTTCCGCTTTTTCTTTCCTTTTCCTTGCTTCTTCTTTTTCTTCTTCTTTGTAGTGGTGTTGAGGATAGAATTGCTGTCGTCACTACTATCATCACCACTAGCTTCTTCATAGTTCTGCTGATCGTCATATTCTTGAAGATTTACTTCTTCAGCCGGTTGAAGCGAATGATTTGAATCCGGTCGAAGTGTTTGATTCGTAGAAGAAGATGACGAACTGTTTGTATCGTTGGATGATGTTGCTCCTACTGCAGTAGAAGAAAACGATTGATCAGTAGGAGAACACATCGATAGGCAATACTTCGGGCCACTAAGAGAACTAGCGTGACCTTCTAGACTTGGAATAGCGTAGTTCGTGAATGCTTCTGCGATTTTAATCTTCTCCATCGCTTCGCTTGTACGGTTGGGGTTGTAGGTCAAAACAACTGGCCTACTAGTACAACTTGAACTACATCGAGGAAGAAGAAAACTAAGTAGCTCCTCTGTGGTCGCGTTGTCAACATCGAACTCGTCGCAAGATGTCTGAAAGTCGTAGATGTAGGGCTTCAACTCCGTTAGATAATCGTCTGTGCTGTGAGATAGTCATAGGAGATTGATCACGTCGCTGGCCGCTTTTGCGTCCCGTCGGTGATCATGTGGACCGTGTCGTAGTGCTGTTCGTTGTTGTGTTGAAGAGGAAGAAGAATCTGCAATACTCCTTCTCGCCAGCTCGTCGGGAATCCCATAAGCGTCATACTTGCGAAGTCAGGATGGACTCCTTTGCTCGCCATCTTGGATTGGCTAATGATGGTTCGCATTCCTAGCGTTGGCACGTACAAAACGTCGCTCCATGAGATGCTTGAATCTGTTGTAACAAGCGTTCCGCGCGCTGAGGCGTATGCTGGATCGGCAGACGCTGTCGTTAGTCGCTCGCTAACGTTTCTGCCAACGTTGTGGAGAAGCGAGAGATCGCCAGTCATATGGCGACTACTACAACTATCAAGAAGAATCCAATTACCACTAGAAGATACTGAATTTGTGATGCTCATTGCCATTCCACCACTACTAGGCATTGCAGCGCCGAGGATCATGAAACTTCTGTGCGGCACACGTGGTGGCCCTTGTTGCGGCGGTGCCGGGGGGTATCCCTGAAATGGGTTGACGAAGAATGAACCCTGTTGCGGTTGCTGCGGGTGGTGGATACCTTGGCTGGGATCTGGATGCTGTGGCTGGCCGTTATAATAGGCATGCGGATTCGGATTCTGCTGCGGCGGCTGGTTGTTCCAGTTGTTCTCATCAGTCCAGTAAGAATTATTCTGGTTTCCATACTGATTCCAGTTGTTGCCGTTGTTGTTGTTGTTGTTGTACTGGTTGGAGTTGGAATAATTGTTATTGTTACCTCGATAGCCCGAATTCTTATTGTTGTAGTTGTTATTTCGGCTTTGGTTGAAGTTGTTCCTTGAGTTGTTGCAACCACCATTATTTTTATGGTTCTTGTTGTTTTTGCCCTTTCCTTTTCCTTTGCCGTTGTTTCTACTACCTTTGCCTCCGTTGTTGCTGTTGGTGAAGTAGGTTTTCCCACCTCCACCGGAGTGAGGCTTTTGCGGGTTCGCGTCGTGCTCTTTGGTTGTTCGTAGTGCGCCGTAAAGTCGCTCTGCCCTGCTGGCGATTGTTGCGACGCCAGTCATCGCGGTCGGCTCAGATGTGATTAGCATCTCTTTGAAAACACCGCATGAAGAATTTGTGAGACTGCGGATTTGCTGTCCTGGTGGGTACTCGTCTAAAGGGCATGCGGATGCTGCTTCAGCCCATCGGCGATGGAAGTTCGCCGGTCTCTCGTTTCTTCCTTGTTTTAGCGCTTCGATCGACGCGATGGCGACCCTGTGATTTTCATACTCATCACAGAAGATCTTTTGAAGCGCTCGGAGCTTCTTTCTTCGGCTGTCAAGGTCCGCCACTTCTGGTCGGTCCTTGATTTCCTGCACGCGGTTTAGCGTGTCCGCTTCGTCTATGCGACCATCTATACCTTCCCAAATTTCATCATACGAATACTTACTAAAAGCTAAGCTCATCCATCTTTTGAAGGCTGTTTTCTTGTCCTTGTAGAGCGGTGACGCTCTTAGTTCCGCTGGTCGTCGCCGCTGTTGGCTGTTGCCTCTTTGGGTCGACGACGACCTTGCCGCGCGTCGTTTCCTTGGGGGCTCTCGGTCCTCCCTTGTGCTTCTTCGTCGGCTGTCGTCCCTGACGCGTGCGCGGCTGTCCTCTCTACCGCGTTCGCGGCTGCTCGTTGGTCGCTTTGCCGTGCTCCGTCCCCTTTTTGCGGTCGTTCGCCTGGGGCTTTCGCTCCTTTGCCTCTTCGTGGGTACCCTCGTGGGGCTTCCGTCCCTTCGGCTTTTTCTTGTGCGTGGGTGCTCGGCTTGGGCTTTCGTCCTTGCTCGTGCTGCTGCTGCTGCTGCTTGAGCTGCTCGAGCTACTTAGGAGGGAACTGCTCCGGCTTCGTTCTATTTTCCTGAATGTTGCGGATTTCCTGACCGTGTTGACCTTGGTCCCGCTTTCCTTGGTGTCTTCGGCGGTTGTGGTGCCCTCCTTCTCGTTGTCGTTCTTGGTGTCACCTTTCTGGTCCTCTCCGGCTGCTCCTCGTTTCTTCTTCTTCTTAGCTTGGGCCGGCGTTCCACTTTCCTGACCAGTTTCCTGATGATTTTCCTGAATTTCTCCCGGTTTTCCATTGCTTGCGGGCGTTCCCGTTTTCTTTCGCTTCTTTTGCGTCGGGGTCCTTCCATTTCCGCCCGGGTTGGCGATTCCGCCCGGTTCGTTGTGGTGCTCTTGATCGCCCATTTTTGTAGGCTAATACTGACTGGAATCAAGTGAAAATTTTGATTGAAAAATTGATGCACTATGATGTTAAATGCACTAGTATACCCATCGAAAAATTTAAAATAATTGGGCCATAACTCTATTATTGCGCAGTTTACCGATTGACTTCTTTATTCTTTACTTCAACGATTATATTGTTGAACACTTGAAAGGTTATAAATTACCGGAGTGATTTCGTTACTCATGCAAGTACTTGGCAAGTAAAAAGGGGAGCCATTTTGGTCCTGTTTTGTGTTTGGTGCATCTCATTATTCGGGGCATGATCAACATCATGGAAATCCTTAAGCAAACAAGTAGACGGCTAGAATCATGAACTTCAAGATTGTGGAAACCTTTGGATTGATGTCACTACGCTGCTGACGCTGTTAGGATCCTGGGAGCTTATGCACGCAACGATTGAATTCATGGAAGTGAGCGATTTGATTCATATGCGCGACAACTAGGAATGTTGCAACCAGCTGGCCTTAGTAAATACCAGAAAATAGCAGGTGGAATACGATGCCCAGATCGTCAATACGATTAGAAATCAGATTTCAGAATCAAAAAAAATCAATGTCATAAAGTTCCCGCGTGGTGGTCGTAGTCGTGGTCTGGCCAATGGTGTTGATAGATATGGACTCCCCTGGGCTGCAGTCGAGGGCTGGATATGGGCAGCAGCACAGCCTTGCGCTAAAACAACTAGAAGGCGAGGACTACGGATCGCCATCCTTTTTTTCTCTTCAATTAATACTGAAACTTATCCAATTCCCGCAGTGACATATATGGAATACAAATTCCGGAGCGAAAGCCTCACTCGTCAGTCTTCTTGTCACAGAAATGCTCTTCCAACTACAGGTGCATTGAAATGAACTAAGGTGGTGCAACTCTAGTACATCAGACTGAACTGAGGGCGCATTAGAGTTATGAACTACATCAACTACGGCGCAATAGAATGGCAGTCCAACTACATTTGCATGACATTGCGGACGCAGAAGTAGACCGGAAGTAGATCATGAACCTTTCTTGTCCCGTGCCTTTTTCTGTGAGAACCTTTCTTGATATAGAACCATGAAACCTTCTTCGGCTTTCATCACGGCGCAATGACTTTGAACAGAGAGGTTACGCACTTTGTGTTCAATGAGTGCGTTGGAGGACGAAACGCAAAGCGTGCACCTGGAGTAATATTTTTCTACTCATCTGCGTCAGAGCTACAAAAATAGACACGACGAACGTGGGGAAAGTAGTTCGATTGTTTTCATCTTTGGAATTGGATATCAAATTCAGCACAGTAACCTCGTAGGCCAACTTGTTGTGTCAACTTGTTTGGGGGGTTTTGTGTTTCAACTTTAGGGGGTGACAATGTCTGATGATGTGAGTGATCTAGTGCATCTTGTTGATTCATGTGACAACTTGAGCACGTTTTAGAATTAGAATTAGAATAGCTTCTGCCTCAGTCCTGCGCTTCAAGCACCGGATCGACAGAAATTGCCCGTTTAGCTCATAGTCAAATAACTCAAATGAAAGCACACATCTAGAAGTAATGGGTGATAGTAGTTAAGCTAGCTATTGTAGAGGCAGTGTCATGTTGTGTACTCAACCTACCCGATGCTCTGGAGGAGGTGAAGGTGCAAATAATATGTGTCGGTGTAAGTAGACGCACAACTCCATAAACTCAATACTATACATGATGTTTTAATTGTACAAGGACGACCCTCTTGGTAAAAAGAACCTTCAGAAAGACACGACATGGGAAGAAGGTTACATGTGAGACACGATGTTTACAGGTGAGCCAGCAGCACCTTCATATGAATCATATTACATGTGAAAATAGTACAACTACAAGTGAGTCAAAGCGACGATCTTGCTTGGTCGATCTCGATGATAATCCCGCATAGTAATGAGGTTGATACTAGAAGTTATGACTTAGTAATGAGGTATAACGTTGTGTGGTGCCATGAATCATCTTAAATAATATCCAAGAGAAAATGATACTACACGCACATCGACACTCTACGTAAATACATACTACACTTCTCCACCTGATCCTGTTATTTGCATGAGTATGCTTATGTCTTAACAAGCACGGCCACGATATTGCAGAGACGTCCTCCCAGACTGAGACAGGGATACCATATGCCTATGGTATAAACAGTAGCACTTCGATAATACGGCTAGCAATTTAACACCTTCAGCTCATGTCTTAAGAGGAGCGATCATTAAATCCGATAAGAATATTCTATTATGTTCATCTTCCTTCTACGTTGTGCCACAGAATGCGTAGTAAGTAGATATGTCTCGACTATAACCATGAATATGCTGCTCCTCCAGAGACGAAGCAGCGAAAAGGGACTACTTGGAACATCCAATAGAAACATATACAGCTAAACTTTTTTGCCCATTTCTGTTTCTCAATCTAATCGAAGTCTCCAGATGAATCCCAAAGACTCAGACAACTCATCAGCACACTGTTACACGTAGTCATATCTTCAGTAAATGATGTCATGTGTTCGCTTCGTGTTGTAATCCTTACTCGATCTCAACTAAATGAGATGAAATACAAGTACTTAATTAGAAAGAAAATGCAAAAGCAAATGGGAAGACGTTCAAACAAGAACATTTCGATTTTAGTTTCCGAGCAGTTGTTGTTCATAGCCCTGTACCACCTTCTCGGTAAGGCCACTGCATGCGACCACATTATACGATGGGTAAGCGCTTATTTCAGTCGATCGCTCAAAGATGGAACCAAGCAGCGTTTCTTCACAGAACTTCTTGCTCGATTCTACCAGCTCCGGTAGGGTCGGCTTCACCGGAGGTGTCGACGAGGATTCGTCGTTCGCTCTCACCTTCGCTTTCGATTCGTAGAGCAAAATCGATGTAGTACTCGTGGCTTTTTCTCTTTGTATTAGAATGGTGAAATTTTTGAGGATGAGTTTCAGACTCAGTACGAATTATCATCTACATTTCATTAATAAAGACGCATTAATCAATGAGAATGACGAATCACTGATAGCGTCAACAAAGACACATCATATTTGAAGTATTTTCTCAGATTTCAAAAAAGCGGGGATTGGAAAAATATTCTTCGAGAATGAATGGTAACGTTGGACGTAAACTAGGTGCCGTGCCCCGGTACGGGTCCTCATTCCCCAATGCATTTAGCACTGCCTGACATTTGCTATATGTGGCCACGCTCTGAACATTTTCCAGAAGTGTGTTTATCTTTATGTCGCGTGCAACGCCAGGAGTTAAAGTGCCCGCTTGCAGCGAGTGAGGGGACAGGCTCCCAGGGGCTAAAAACCCGCCAAAGATGTTGCAGCTCATTGCAATCCCAGTAACGTCGCTAGCGGTAGGCCCAATAGTCCATACTGGCAGCGAACATCTCATATGGATAAGCCGGTCAGCTCTGGACACGCGAAACCGAAACCCCAGAAATTTCGTAAAAAACCCGTCCAGCTTATCGTCCAAATCCGGATAAATGTCCCCAAACGGAAACTCGTTTTCTTCTTGCATTGTCTTAGAGCCAGCGAAGCTGCATTCCCGGTCGTATGCACATCCTTGGATTGTTTGTTCTACCTTAGAAACATTACCAAGCATGGCATTGAAGGACCAACTGTGCGATAGCCGTATATGTAAGCACGCTCTTCATTGCGTTCACTGCCTCGGTTCGCTTTTCCTCCATCCTGGACCACATCTCGTTGGTGCGACCAGGAGAAGAAGGCCCAGACACTGTCGTCAAAAACACTTCGAGGCCCCTCAACTTGAGACACATATTTGTGACTTCGCTGGCGTGCTTGACAATGGTCACTACGAATTTCATTATGGCGTGAGCAAGTTCCTCCACCGCCTCCGCGGCTGCAGTGTTCTTATAGCTATCCATAGTAGCACTAGCAGACTACATTGTTTCTTTCGTCTTGATTGTGGCTCCTTATAGTAATGATCTAGAGGGCCGTTAGGCTTTTGGGCCCTGCCTGAGACAAAGAATCTGAAACAGCCAACCCAAAGCAAAGAATCTGACACAGCCACGGCACCAGCCACAGCCACGGCACCAGCCACAGCCACGGC